TTTTGGATCCCAACCCAACCCAACCCGTAAATGATCGGTTTCTGGTTTTCAGAACCCAATAGGGTTGGTTTCTGGTCGGTTCGGTTTCTCGGTTTCTAATATCGGTTTGGACGGTTTCTCGGTTTCTTGGGTTCAACCCATACACTTACGATTTCTGGGTTTAAACCCATGAGTTTTGGGTTTGAACCCATTTTCCAGAAATATAACAATTAGTTAAATAATTAAAAAAACACCTAAGCTTCTTTTATATATATATATATAATATATATATATATATATATATTATATATAATATATATATATATATATATATTATATATAATATATATATAAAAGAAGCTTAGGTGTTTTTTTAATTTTTAACTAATTGTTACATTTCTGGAAAATTGGTTCAAACCCAAAACCCATGGTTTATATATATATATATATATATATATATATATATATATATATATATATATATATATAATATATATAATATATATATAAACATAAAATAATACTTAAAAGCATCGGGTTTGCGGGTTCGCTGGGTCGGTTTCTCGGTTTTAAAGAGGGGTCGGTTTCTCGGGTTATTGGGTCGGTTTCTGGGGGCAAAACCGAAACTGAACCCGGAAAGTCGGTTTTTACAAATTTAAAACCCACACCGTCGGTTTTGATTCGGTTTCGGTTTCGTCGGTTTTTGTCGGTTTCTCGGTTTCTTGGTTCGGGTTTGCTCACCCCTACTGGGTACGTGGCTAGGGATATGGTCGGTCCTGAGAATTCGAATGCCCAGAATAAACCGGAAAAAAAACTCTTAGACCGTAACGTCTAACAAACTAAATTATACTATAAACTACAATTTTTTTACACATAGGATCATTTATATAATGTTGAAATTGCAATTAATATAACATATGAGACCATTTGTGTGATTCAATATAACATATGTATAATGTTAATATAAAATTGGTTTTTTCCATAATTTAAACTTGTTTTCTTTCCCTTTTCATACAAATATTAAAAAACCAAAAACTATGGAGAAATTATGTGATTTATATAAATAAAATTGGTTTTTTTCCATAATTTAAACTTGTTTTCTTTCCCTTTTTCATACAAATATTAAAAAGCCAAAAACTATGGACGTTATAAGTCAAAAAATAATTAGAGTCAGAAAAAAACAGGGTAGAAATACTTTGATTCAAATGATCAAATCAACTCCTTAAGAACAAGTAGAGATTGGAGGTCTTCAAACAAAAGAAAAAAAATAAAAAATCAGATAGTGGCCACACCCTTGTTTCTCAAATACACAAAGATATGTTGCAACAAACTCTTTGCAGAAATTGGCCAAAATACCCCTTAACCGCCTTGAACCACCTGATGCTATTTTGGCACTAATGTATTTTCTATTTTACCCTTTTTTGTAGCATACATGTATTGTAAAGGTAGTAGTGTGATGGTTAATTTTATTGGGTAGTGATTGCTATTTTATGGTTAATTTTATTGGTTTGTGATTGCTATTTTATGGTTTATTTACCATTTAGTTTGCAATAATTTAATCATTTTAATAAGAAAGTTAAAAAGAAGACGATGTGTATATTCAATGCACTAGTTTTTTATTTATAATTCATATAATGGGACTCGCCGAGTCAATCAATCAAATTGCACAAAAACGATTTTTTCAAGCAAGATCAAAACATATAACATCAAATACAAATGAAACAAGACAAATCTCTAATACCACTGATGGATTTGAGTCACAAGAACTTTCTTATGTACACATGCAAACCCTAATACTTGGATCTAGGTTTCTCTATTATACATGCATTCATCCAAGATTTTCTAACCCTAGATCTAATGATAATAATTCAAAATTATAAGAACCAAATCGAATCTAGAAGATTACCTCTTGTTGCCTGCTTCAATCTCCTTGTCTTTGATGCTCAGAGTTACAAGTGTAACTCCTCTAATGACTTACAAACACCAACTAGCAAGATAGTAGTATATGAGAGAGGGAGGAGGCACACAAAATCGGCTCTAGGTTTCTTAGAAAAGTAGTGGCCGATTTCTGTAGCCTAGGGATCATATTTATACTGTGACCAGCTAAGGTTTTAGTCAAAACCCTAATGGACAACTTAAACATTAAGCAACCTATGGAACCTTCTGGAATAAGGCCATGGACAAAAATATGATGGGCTCCCATCATAATTTCGTTCACCCCTTTGATCCATTGGGTTTCCCAGCCCAAAATTCAACTATCACACATTTGACAGTTTAAGTCTCTTTTCTTCAATTAATCTCTTTTAGTCACCAAATTAATTCCTAATTAATCTATGACTAATATTAATTAAATAATATAATTTCTCTTTTAATATATTATTCTTATAATATATTAATAAACCATAATATCTTCTCTCTCTCCATAAATCACTCTGCTAAGTTGCTATGGTGAAGGCAACTCAAAAGGATCATGCACAACCAGGTCAAGTACTTACCAAATACAGTTACGGGCTTAGACACTAACCTAACATTATTATGAAAATGTGATGCTATTTTTTGTTTATTTCACATGATGGTCATACGATTTGTTTCTTGAAATGTTGTTTGGGTTTTTTTAGGTTACTTATATGTTTTAAACGTACAAATGCTTTAGATCAAATGTTAAACTTATAATGACAACCTAAAATGCTTATTTTAGTTTTATATGAAAAATGAACTTAAAATGTTTTTGGTTAAATGAAATGTAGTCGAGAGCATAAATACATGTATATTTGATAAAAAAAAACATATTTAGTCTGTATTTTCCTAAATACTTTGTACAAAATGGTCAAAACATGATTTTATATAAGCAGGGGCGGAACACGGACGTTACAATTGGGGTAGTCGAACAAAATTTTCAAAATAAAGCTAAACAAATGATCTATTTTTTTGGATCGATTCTTAGTAGCACGGAGATTAAATTTACAAGTATTTTTTTTTAAAGTTGTGATTTATCGTGATCTTAAAAAAAACTTGTATGTTTTATTTAAACTCCTAAAAAACATAGTATTGTTTTTTCATGTTAACTTACTATATAACAAAAATAACAAACAATTAACAATATAAATTAAAATTTTAACAAATAGACATCTCAATTATCAAATAATTTTGTTTTTCTAATTCTAATAATTTTGTTTAATTGTTTCGTTGGGTTTGGGATACGGAAACTTAAGACTTATTCTAAACAAATACAGTTTAAAATATATTAAACAAACTGATAATAATGATCCAAAAACTTGGATAAATATGATAATTATATATATATATATATATATATATATATATATATATATATATATATATATATATATATATATACCGGTTGAAATTTCTTTTTACAATTAATGTTACAATATTCACCCTTCAACTTTATGCTTTAGTCACAAACAACCCTTTTACTTTCGTTTAAATTTTTCATAATCCTCGCTTTTTATTACATATTATTAGTATTTAGTCATATTAATATTTTTTTGGCAGGAATGGTCCCTCAACTATATTTGGGTCATTTTAAAGTTGCTTACTTTTTGTCTTTTTTGGTCCCTCTACTTCCGTTGGTTATTTGTGGCATTATAGGTTCATATGTTTTCGTTTAATTGTCACTTTATTAGTTTTGCTTATAGATTCATTGATGTTGTTTTATTTCTTATATATTTGTTTGTTTATAGATCAGTTAAAGAGGGAAAGAATAAGCAACTCAAACTATAAACATTTTGAAAGAACAAACAATGAAAAAAATTGTCGCATCCGATCCCCGCGTTGCGGGGGTTCCCCATCTAGTTATAAATAAAATTGAGATTCTCAATCAAAAGATATCGTATCCATTTTCTATGCAAAAGGAGCATGTATTTATACTAGCATATTGTATTCTTTCAGAAAAAACTGCAAAAGAAACAATATAAAAACATATCTACTTAGTAGTCTTTCTCTAATAATCTCATTCAAAAACAAAAAGCATTAAGGTTTTCTTCTTTCTCCATTCTCATTTCTCTAAGCCGCACAAAAGCAAAACAAAAACTGATTAACCATGGTGATCATCATGAGTGGCAACGACGTAATGCCTGCACACTTTAGGGTTTCGTTTGAGATGATTAAGTTATTAAGTGGTAAATCAGGTATTTAGATTAATTTTTTTGTTTCTTTATGAAATTAATTAGTTTTCTTAACAAAGTTTCGTTGTCAGTTTTTTGAGGAATTAGATCAAGTATTATACTAGTACTAAGAAGCCAAAATAGCAAGGGGTCATGGCTCCTCCCAACCCCTATTGAGTTTTATACAAAGAGTTTTATACAAAGAGTGGTCCAAAAATGTTTTATTTGGATTTTTATATAAAATAACGTCAAAGTTTTGTTCATAAAAGATTTTTATAAAAACAAAACGTTAGACGTGCCTAACATTTTCTTATATTATATATATTCATAAATCCATATTTTGGTTAAATGGTGTATTTTATATGCATATATTAAAAGGTTTAGCAAATTTTAGCATAAAATAAAGCTTATACATGAAACAATGATTCAATCACATACTTACATATTAATAACTATATTAATGTGTTTGAGCAAATTCCCATATATATATATATATATATATATATATATATATATATATATATATATATATATATATATATTAATATATATATATATATAATATATATATATATATATATATATATATATATCTTAATTACCTTATAAAGCATTTTTGGTTAAATGCTGAATTTTAAGTCGTACAAACATACAATGCATTTGTACAATCAATTTATGCATTACAAAAAGAGTAGAGTACATATGATCAACAGTTGAAAATGTCAAATCTCTTATCTTTTATTTTTAAGCTATTTTGATCCGGTTCATTCCTTATCTCCGTATTTCTCCAAATCTCGCAATTTTTGTTCACAAATTTTGACTTTGAAGTCCAATACCCACACACCTTTTGACCTAGGAAACTGATGAAATTATTTGCCAAATCATTTTCATAAAGTCTCTCCAAAAATAATGGCAAATTAAGAAAAAAAAATAGTAATAGTAAAATGGGCTAAAACAAAATAAAACTTTTACATAACCCGTTTGATAACCATTTTGGGCCTTCGGTCATATCATTAATGTATGGGCTTAATCTTTGGTCAGATCTTTGTTCGAATTTCGACCAAGCAATTCAAGAACTCAAGAACCCTAGGAGATCTCGTTCGCTGCGACTTCCGATGGCTTCCAAGGCGGTGAGGAAGATGATCTACCACCAGAAACTGCGCAACCACCTCAAAGACAACACGCAAATCCTCGTCGTCGGCGCTGATAATCTCAGTGCTAACCAGATTCAGATCATAAGGAAAGGATTAAGAAGCGACGCAACCGTTATGATAGGTAAAAATACCTTGACGAGTCGCTCAATCGCTATGCATGCTCCGGCGACCGGAAACACCGCTTTTCTGGGTCTGATTCCTCATATTGTGGGGAAAGTTGGATTGGTTTTTACCAGAGGTGATCCAGAGGAAGTTAGTGAAGCTGTTGCAGGATATAATCTGCAGCCGTGGTTGTGTTCATCGATGGATATTGGAGTTTGTTCTATGTGGCAATGGCTGCTGAGTACGCATTTACATTTACTGAGCAAATCGAGTGAAGTTTCAGAATAAACATATCGAGCCTTCTGCCTTCATTCGACAAAGACGATGGATAACTTTTCTTTGATATATGATCTAATTCGTCTTTTTGTTTTCGAAGTCCGAACACTGTGTTTGTGTAAATAATATCTGCCATGGATCATATGTCCTCTTGTTTTGTTGAAATTGAAATAAGAAGGTTTTTCTTTTGATACCATCTCCAACATTGTTTTCTTAAAAAATGGTGTAAATATTGGTTTATCTCTAACGGTATTTTATTTTCAAAATAATAAAAAAAAAAAATTAGTATATTCATTCTTTTTACCAATCTTTTAATTAAGGATGTCAACCGGGAAAACCGAACGGGTAGTGCATCCTCCGTCACCGCCCCTGAAATTTTTCCCGTACCCCCGTCCCCGCCTCTGCCCCGGAATGTTCAGACTTACTACTCCCGCCCTCGCCCCCGAATCCTCTTTATTACCTCTGCCCCTGATTAATTTTGGGCTAAAATAAGTTGTTGTTTAGCTTAAATGAAGTTATTTTTAAGATAACAAATAATTAATATATATATATATATATATATAATATATATATATATATATATTATATATATATATATATATATATATATATATATATATATATATATATATATATATATATATATATGGGAAAAGTGAATATACATTACAGTCTCACCTAAGCTTAGGTACTAAACCACATGATAATACATTGTTTTACTATATAAAGATTGTGGTTAAAGGATTCACAATTAACACTTGATGATGTAGATTCAAGATAAACGAAATAGTTTTGATAAGGAAGCAAGAATATTGATTATCTTCGACCTTATTAATAGTAGAAAAAAGTAATGTTTACTTGAGTGAAGTAATTAACAATAATTGAGGAAAGAAAACAAGCATGGTAAAATGATAATGGAGGAAGAAAATGGTAAAATGATAATGGAGGAAGAAAATGTTATCGAGGATGTATATTTACCAAGTGAAAACCAAATCGGGTATATTTGCTAAGTTAAAACGACATATTTTAGTGGTTTTGTACCTAAGCTTAGGTGGGGCTGTAATGTATATTCCTTATCCCTATATATATATATATATATATATATATATATATATATATATTATATATATTATATATATATATATATATTAAAGTTATGAATCCTTATGAACAGTGATTCAGCATGATTTGCCCTTTTTTTACCTTAGACTTTCATTATTTCTATATATGCCCTTTGCTTTCATTTGTTTTATTTTAAAGCTTCTCCGATAATAATTTCTTTTTTAAATTTAATTCCCTTATCTATATTGCTTATTCAGCAGTTTTGGATTCTTCGTGGTTGACTTGTAGGTCTTCCACGTGTGTTGTTGCTACCAGTTGGTTGCAACGCCTATGAACATCATTGGTTACTTCCCTCCGCCTGGGTTACTTTCATCCTTTCACCGATATATCCGATTCAGTTCCTTCAAATTTGGGATTATTACCCCAGTTCTTTTCATCACCATCGAAATGGTAGGACCTGTACACGACACCATCGCCGACTACGAGTCTGCAACGCTATATCCGATGTTGGTGCTCGCTTCCCCGTCTCTGCCTCCGCCTCTCACTTCTCCGTCATCAACAACAGTTGGCAGCTACGTCATCAAAAACAGTTGGCATCAAATTCATCTCTCAAATTTCAAATCGGCGACGACTCTTCCTTTCAGTGGCCTCCCACCTATAAAATCATGAACACCGCCGTCGGTAATTCTTCACCGCATCGGACGCCATTAATCAAACGCACATGGGCTCTCTTTTGTCTATTCTCTTCTAGAAAGTAATTTCATGATTGCCTTTTTGTGATTCTCGTGTGGATGGTTACTGAAATTCTATTTCATGTTAGGGCTTACTGAATTTGTGCTTGCTAATGGCAGGGCGGTGGTGGAACTTCAATTTCGAGTCGATTTTGTATTTTGGGCGATGCTTCTTTAGACCTTATCTGAAACTTCCATGCTATCAATCGTTCTCTCCTACCTCTGCTATCATCTACGGTGAAACAAGCTTATGGGTTTCATAACTCGACGCCTTTGTCTCCGGCAGTGACTCGACGACCATGCTTCAAATCTGGCGGCTTCCGGTTTTGTTCCCATACATGTCATTTCGTCTATGAAGACGATGATTTCAATCTAATTTGCAGTGTTTTTGAATGCCAGGTGTTCGATGAATTGCTCAAATGAAAATCAACAGGTACAACACAAGTAATTTTGATATTTCTTTCATTGATAAATGGTTTTACTACATCGGGTTGGGTGTTTTATTGTTTTTGTTTCTTTATACAGTAAATGAAAAAAAACATTGACCTTTTTGCACAGACCAAGAGAAAATTTCTTGACATTTTTTTATACGAGCTGTATATATAAATGTTGTATCAGATTTTTTTAATTGTACTCATGGTTGATGCTTATGAAAATATTCCAATAGAGACAAGTGGTGGTAATGTCCCACCTCCTGTGAACATTTTTGTCGAGATTGATTTAGGGGAAGCTTTAAATTTAAACATTAGAAGGTGCAAGTATGTGAAGCCAACTCCTGTTCAAAGACATGTCATTCCAATCCGTCTTGGTAGAAGGGATTTAATGGCTTGTGCTCAAACAATGTCTGGAAAGACAGCTGCCTTTTGTTTTCCAATCATCAATGGACTAATGAAAGAGCAATTTGGTCAAAGAGCTTTTTATTGCTTCGCCTAAATGATTCTACCTTCTTATGTTTGTAACCTTGATCATCTATAATGTTTTAGACTATATGGTAATCCATGGAGGCGTTATATAGTTGAACTTTGTTTCTATCTACCATGCATTGTAACAGACTATATGGTAATCCACTTGTGAGTTTATTCAATACATTAAGAAACTGCAGGAAAATTAACTTTCTTTGTATGTTTAGTAATTTTCTCTTTTCCTGTTAATCAAATGAAAAGTGGTGAGATAGTTGATGGGTGTGCAATGTTTTGGCGTTCATCAAGGTATCCCTTCATTATGTTATAACTTTCCGAACAGTTGTGAGATTTAGGCTTTTATACTAGATTTTAACTTCTACAAGATAGCTAGGATTGCTTTCTGATTTAAACAACAGTCATTCCAGTTCATAATCTACCCATTCCTACCTCTAAACTTTAAGCCATTGAAATGCAGTCTCGTTGATCAATAAGATGCATATTTTTTTTAAAGGAAAATGACATATAGGCCCTATAATGTTTTTAGGCTTTACCCTTTTAGCCACTTAACTTATTTTTTGGCCTAATAAGGGAACCAAGTAGGGGGAACTTGTTTATTTAGCCATTTTCACCTCTTTTCCCCGATTTTATTGACAAAACTTGAGGCCCACCTCTCTCTCTCTCTCACTCTCTTACACACACACACACTCTCTCTCTCTCTCTCAGAACGATAGACTATAAACTGAACTATCTAGTTCTATATGCTAATCAAACACACACAAACTCCATATAAATCATTACTCGAGCAAAATTTAAAGCTTGCACTCCATCTCGTTATGAATCTGCTAGAGCTGATGGTGATTTTGAAGAAAACATTCAGAAATTCGGAATATATAGTGAAATCCCCAAAAAAAACTTCTCTCGTCGCTCATTTTTCTGGTAGAATTAGGTGTTGTAATTCCAGATTCTTGTTGTGATTACCATCCTCGAGGCCATAACTTTGCTTCGGTATAGTACAACATGGCCTTTATTTGGGAACAAAGAGGAGGTGTCGGAGTTAGAGACATCGGAACCGGATGATATGAGTTGGCCTCTACAGGACTTCCTAGGTATAACTGAAACAATTGCGATTCATGATGGGATGATGTAAATTTATGATCAACTTTGTTGTTTTGGTTACCGGAGCTTAGGAACCAAGCAAATGGCACCTCATCGAGTTTCTGGACTGGTTTTAGAGTACTTGTTTTTGGATTTCATTTTTGGGTACACACAATTTCCATTTCGTTTCTAGGCAGACACTAACACCAACCATCACCACACCTGTTGTGAATCAGATTTCAAGATCTGGCCTTCTAGGTGAACGATTTAGAAAAGGGTGAAGTTTTTCTTTTGATTTTTTGAAGTTCTTGGGGGAACCACAACACCTCTGTTCTTTGAGAATACATACAAACCTACACAATTAGTCTCAAGCGATTCAAAGAGAATACATACAAACGGTGGTCAATGATTAAACAAAAAACTCAATCCCCTTATTTGTTGATATAATGCTAGTTACAGAAGGAGTACATGACCTCTATTTGCAGGTGGGTTTCAAGGAGAGAGAGTTAGAGAGAGAGAGAGAGAGAGAGAGAGTATGGGAAAATTCAAAGTTAATATAAGAAATTGGTCAACAAATGTCATTGTGTCAAAGAAGTAACCGGATGACTCCTTCACTTTGGCCAAAAGGATGTAATCGACCCGACAAAAACAACTTCGTGCCCTGATAAGGCTACAAAAATTGTTTAGGGTCTAAAAGGATAAGCCTTAGAAAGTTCGTAGGGCCTATATGTCATTTTCCCTTTTTTTACTACAAATTTGGTTAATACCATGTGGTTTTCTGTTTTTATAACTATTAATAGAAGTTACATTATAAAACAAATATGACCGAAGCACCATAGGTAGAAAGAGTAAATGATCGGTCGAAAGGTTTGGTTTGAATTTATAATGTTTTTGTCTAAATAACACTATCAAACTTTTTTTTGGTAATAACAACCCCTTTATTATGAATTATGTAACTTTTTATTGTTTTTAAAAGAAACCTTAAATATACAAAGACATAAGTTGAATTTTAATAAAATAAAGTTTTTTAAACAAATTTTCATATTTGTCTCTGCTTGACTTTTTCTTTTGATTTTCTTTATATTGTGTTTTATGTAGGTTGTGGACTTTGAAGATATTGATTCTTTTTATTAAAATCAATGTCCAGGTTTTTTATAGCATCCTACTTACTCCAAAAAATGCAAGGTACAAAATCAATTTTATATCACCCAACGATAAAGATATTGGTTTTTTTTAATTAATATATATTAAGTATTAAATCTTATTAAAATCGATGGACCAGTTCCTCCAAACAATCGCCACAAGGCCAACACACATGAAGTATGTAATCTCAAAGGGTTGTTAAAAAAATTAAAGACAAATCTGGATAACAGATTTCATGATGATAAGTCAGACATATAGGAGAGGAAAACTGTTTTTGGGTAAAAAACATAACCACGAAATAAGGATAGCTGCTTTTGGGTATGTATTTTATATGTTTTTTTTTTTTTTTTTTTTGTGTGTGTGTGTGCATATTTTGTTTGGGTATTCTATAATTTAAAGTTGTGTGTTATTGATTTTTTAGAGGTTTGTGATCATTTTGATGGTAGCTGTAGCTGCTTCTTTCACATTGCTTATAAAGGCAAAGGTAAGGGAAATTAAGTTGATTATTCTTTGATTGATTATGATGATAGTTGCCATATGCTTCAGGTTCTTCACAAGGTATTCAAATTCAAAGAATATGAACATGGTCAACAACATTCTTAGCTTCTTATACTGAGTCAACTTACAGCAAAATACCTAAAGCTGAAACTACAGATGAATTCACCCCATCAAATAATTGTTTTGTCCAACAATCACATCCCGGTATATGAAATCGTGCCTGAATCGCAAGTTATGAATCACATATGTCGTTTTTTCTTTCATATATTTTTATGAAGAGTAAACATGGTCAGGGAGGAGGATACGCAGAAGACCGCGTTTCGGACGCACTATGGCCACTATGAGTTCGTGGTGATGCCGTTTGGGCTCACCAATGCTCCTGCCGCGCTCATGGACCTCATGAACCGCGTATGCAGACCGATGCTGGATCGTCTGTGATAGTCTTTATCGATGACATCTTGGTTTATTCCAAGACGCAGGAGGAGCATGAGGAGCATCTGAGAGAGGTTCTGGAGACCCTGAGGAGGGAGAGCTTGTATGCCAAGTTCTCCAAGTGTGAGTTTTAGTTGCGCGATGTGCAATTTCTCGGACACCTTGTCAACCAGAACGGGATTCTGGTCGATCCGGCCAAGGTCGAGGCCGTGATGAGATGGGAGGTTCCGAAGTCTCCATCTGAGATTCGGAGTTTCCTAGGATTGGCAGGCTATTATCGGAGGTTCATTCAGGATTTCTCCAAGATAGCCGTACCCCTGACACGGCTGACGAAGAAAGTCGTAGTCTTTCGATGGGGACCCGAGCAGCATGCAGCGTTTGAGACACTGAGACAGAGATTGTGCGAGGCACCGATCTTAGCCCTGCCAGAGGGCGTAAAGGATTTTGTGGTTTATTGTGACGCATCTTTTTCAGGGTTGGTGCGGTACTGATGCAGAGGGAGCATGTCATTGCCTACGCTTCGAGGCAGCTCAAGCCTCACGAGGCGAACTACCCGACACATAATTTGGAGTTGGGGGCGGTGGTTTTCGCTCTCAAGATTTGGCGGCATTACCTCTACGGGTTTCGGTGTACCATTCACACGGACCACAAGAGTTTGAGGTATCTCATGGATCAGCCGAATCTGAACATGAGGCAGCGTCGGTGGTTAGACGTGGTGAAGGATTATGATTGTGAGATCCTTTACCACTCGGGAAAGGCCAACGTGGTGGCCGATGCGCTTAGCTGCAGGGCGGCGCCGATCAGGGATATTTGCATGAGGATGACTGTAGTGACTCCCCTGTTGGAGCAGATTCGGGAGGCTCAACAGGAGGCTATCAAGGAGGAACATCGAAAGAGCGAGCGTGTGGTGGTTCAGGTTTCCTCCTTCGATTATGATAGCCGAGGACTATTGACACTACACCGTAGGGTGTGGGTGCCGTATCACGGAGGTGTGCACTAGATCTTGATGGAGGAGGCGCACAAGTCCCGATTCTCTATTCATCCCGGGGTGACGAAGATGTATAGGGATCTTCGTATAGATTATTGGTGGCCCTGCATGAAGCGGGACGTGGCATGGTACGTCGAGCGGTGCTTGACCTGCAGGAAAGTCAAGCCCAACATCAGAGACCACATGGGAAGATGCAGCTGTTGGACATCCCGTTGTGGAAATGGGAAGACATCACGATGGATTTTATCACAAAGCTTCCCAGGACTGCACGCGGAGTAGATTCGATTTGGGTCATCGTGGATCGATTGACCAAGAGCGCCCATTTTATTCCGATTCAGGAGAGCATCTCGGTTGAAAAGTTGGCTGATATCTACATCAGGGAGATAGTAGCGTGGCACGGGGTGCCAGTGTCAGTGATACCAGACCGAGATGTGCGATTCACTTCCAGATTTTGGAAGAAGTTTCATGACGAGTTGGACACTCGTTTGCATTTTAGCACCGCCTTTCACCCGCAGACGGATGGTCAGAGCGAGCGGACCATCCAGACTTTGGAGGATATGTTGCGGGCATGTGTGTTAGATTTCGGTGGTAGTTAGGATACCTATCTTCCCTTGGTTGAGTTCTCATACAACAACAGCTACCACGCGAGTATCGACCGTCCCCCATTCGAGATGTTGTACGGATGGAGGTGCAGGACCCCGATATGCTGGGGTGAAGTTGG